GGATTGTGTTACGTTATCTGTTTAAACATTCCGTTATATTTTAGTAATGTGAATAATGATTATTCCTGTGCTTCTGAGCTCTCTCTCTTGGCTCGGGCGCCGGAGGTTCAGGAGACACCTGGCACTGTTGACAGAGTGCTGAACTTGAACGCCTCTCACTGTGACAGGGCAAGCCCAAATATTTTGGGAAGAGTCCTTGTTATGTTACGACAGGGGTTGGTAGCACTGATGTGGGGACAGGTTTTGCTTTAATACAGAGCTGATTATGCTTCATTATTCGGGGAACAGCGTGAACTCGGGCAGGCGGGCTGCTGGGAGAAGGAGGATTGCACTTGGGCACTTCATATTTGTAGGATGTGCTGAAGGTCTTCCAAGAGATGCTGTCTCTCAGAAGAGGTCAGGATAGGAGGCCCTGAAAGATGTTTTTCTGTGGGTGAGAAAGTAGAAGAAATAAAGCTTTTTTTTCAAAATAATATAAATGTTTAATGAAGGTCCCTACATGTAGACAAATACCTGGGGAAGAGCTTGTATTAAAATACCTTTTAAATCATATTTTCTATCCCTCAAGGTGGTGTTTGCTTCCTACAGTGTACATCTTCCCTCTTTGATTGGTTTCCTCTCCTGAAGTCAAGCTGCATTTTGGCAGTGCTTTGTGCATCTCCAGTGCTGCACGAGTGTCCAGCACGCGATGTTTCATCGGTCATGGACTTTTAGCAAGATTGGATGTGTCCTGGAGTTTGCCAATTCACGTACGGCACGTAATTATATTCAGGAAGCAATAGGAATTAAATGACATTAATTCCCATGAATATTCATTTAAGAATCTCGACCAAATTCAGGCAGATTAATAGTCCAGCGAAAATACAATGGCTATTCATTGCCCCCACAGGAAAAGGAAATATGTATTGGCTGGCAGCTCAGGCCAAATGGAAATGTGCTATAGAAAAGTTATCTCTGGGTGGCTGCTGGTACAGTGGTGGCTGGAGGGACACCTCCAGGAGCAGAGAGGATTACTGTGGGGATGGATGTGGGGAGCCTTTCCCATCCACTGGGAACCCAGAGGAGTCTGAGGTGAATCCAAGACTCATGTCTCTGCACTGCCCGTGCAAATCCAAACCAATTCTGACTGCAGTGGAGCTTCTCTGGACTCACAACAGAGCAAAATGTCATTTATTCTGTGCCTGCCTCCCGCTGCCCTGTGCGTGGAGCCAGGCTGCAGCCTGCTCTGCCTGCACGGTGATGCTGCGGGGCAGCACAGCCTTTTCTTTCCCTTCCACGCAGCACTGAGCTGGCTGTGCTGCTGGCTGCCTGCTCTGCCACAGCCAGCCCAGCACCAGCCCTCAGGGTGGCTGTGGGGCAGCCCTGTCCTGCCAGGCACCTCCTGGCACATGGAAGCTCCGTTCTGTTCCAGCCTGTCCTCCCAGCACAGGCCAGGACATGGTTTCTACTGTGGCCAGGGAAACTGGGAGAGTATAATAGCAAAAGCAGATGAAGGATGCAAATACATTTGAAACTGAGGGATCAGAATTTGGTATGCTGGAAACCCTCCACCCTAACAACAACATTTCATTTAATTCCATTTCATTAAAAAAAATATCTAGGTTTGGTTATAGCCCTCATTTGGGAGAACTTTTCATTTTGTCAGACAAGCCAACTGTGTCACATTATCTCTTTGTGGGACTTCCCGGTTGGAGAACAGATCCACCTTCCACTAAAGTTGGTGCAAGTGCTGCTAGAGCATAGGGTTTAGTCTCTAAGCTGATGTTTACACCTTTTAAAATTCCCCCTCATAGGCAAGTTGACCTTTCCTGCCCTTGAAGTTCTCTGAGCAGAAGAAAGGTCCAGTTATTTTACATTGCTCGTGTAGCATGTGGGCAGAGCTGCATTTTCTACTTTTTTGAAGGTTATTTTTTGCCAGACTGATCTGACTTGCCCTGACTGCATCGAAAACAAGGAAATGTGGAGAGCAGCAATCACCATCTTGCCAAGAAAGAGTTTTGCCTCTAGTTGCAGTATGAGCATACTCACAGGGCTGCTTCTGCTTGTGCTTATTTGAAACAAAAGTCAGATAATCATAAAACCAGGCTGTAAATCCAATGTACATTTCTCTTTATGTCCGCCAACTTTTTGGGCAGTACATGGTGTGTATCTCATCTTTTCATGGCTGATGTAAAAGGTAAAACAGCAGCTGAGTACCCACATGGGCTTTGCACCTACGCAGGAGTGCCAAGTGGGCCAGGAACCCGCCGTGCAGCCTGGTGATGTGCTCTGCAAAGCCTCATAAACCAGTGACTAAGGCAGAAAGGACTCCAAGGCCTGGCTCCTGGGACACTGGAGGTGTGGCATTACAGTAGCTTGGAAAACATTCTGACTTTATAACAAGTAACACCTATAATTACAGAGGCGTCATCACCTTCATAATTTTTTTTTTTTTTTTTTTTTAGCTAACAAGCTGTAGTTGTAGCCTGTGTACATCCCTGCCAAAATCTGCTAAGTATTTGCTCTTGGGATGGTTCTGCCGGTGGTGGGAATATCAAGCATCTTTCTCCAGGCACTTGTAAAACAATACAGCAGTAAACAATTCAAGCACAATTAGCAGCTACATAGGCAGAAGGGGAGGGAGAAGTCCCACCGCTGGTACTGTCTGTGGAATTAATCATGTTTTACAGAGTTGATATACTGGTTTGGATGTGTGAAGTTAAAAACAAGAGATGAAGAAGTAGACAATAAGTGTTTATTCAAGGATGAAATGTAAAACAAGTATTGTTTCATAGCTGTAGAGTGTTTTAAAAATGCTATTTTAACAGGTTTTGCTCCATTTTCTTCCTACTGAAGAAACAGATTAAGTAAAAAATATAACAAGATGATGTTCGCTTTTAAAGCTGGTTGTCCCGCCAGGTCACACAAACCCCGGTGTCTCCTGCGGTACCGGAGCTGGAGAAGCGGGATGCTGAAATCCCCGCTCCCGGCTCTCGCCCGTTCCCGGCCCCGAGCGCTCCCCGGTCTGAGCGCACCGCTCCGGCAGCGGCGCGAGCATCACCTCCGCAAATATTTATTTGCAGCGATTTTCCGCTCTTAATTATTTAAAATATAATGAATTACGCATAAGTACCTCGCTATTAGGGTAATTCCAGGTCTTAATTGCTGCCAGAGCGGCTCCCAGCGTTCCGCCGGGAGGTGGCGCCGCGGGCCCGGCGCTGCTGCCGGAGCCGCCGGGGCCGGGCGGGGGACGGGGACCGGCACCGGCACCGGGACTGGGGGAAAGGCTGGGCGCAGCGCGGGGCTACCGCGGGGCCCCGCGGTAACGCTCCTGACAGCGTGTGAAACCATCGCCCCCGGCCCCGGGTCCGTCCTGCGGGCAACCACACGAGATCGCCGAAAAAACAGGGGAGGGAAGAAAGCCGGGCGGGTCAAAGAAAAGAGTTTTCCCCGAACGAGTCGGTCGCTCGGTAACTTGGCGGCCGGGCAGGACGCGCTCCATCCCCGCGGGGCGCCCGACCAGCGACCCCCGTCCCGCCGGCGCCGCGCCGCTGCCGGCAGCGGGCCGGGGTCCCGGGCAGGGCAGGGCAAGGGGCTGCCCGCGGGGCCGCTCCCCTCGCCTGCTCCGGCCGCCGTCAGGCGAGCCCCGCGCCGCCGGAGGTTCCAAATCCATCGGTGCTGTTAAAACTGGCGGTGCACGAGTGCCGGAGCCGCGGGGCTGGGGCCGCCGGGTGGTCCCGGCTCTGCCCCCGCGGGCGCTGCCGCCCCTCTCCTCGGTAGCCCCGACGGCGCGGCCGGAGCGCTGCCGCTCCGCGCACCCACCGAGATGCGAACCCACTCCCGCGGAGCGGGACCCAGCCCGGTCCCCGGGACGGTCAGTCCCGCTGAGCGGCCGGTGCGCGCCGCTGCGCACCCGCGCGGTGTTTCTAAGCGGTGTTTGCGCCCACAGCGGCGGGCGCTGCGGGGGGAACGCAGGCAGCGCCCGCTTCGCCGCTCCGCGCAGGTAAGGCGGCTCCGCGGGTACCTGCGGAGGGCACTCCGGGGTGCCCCGCATGCCTCAGCTCCGCTAGCCTGACGCCCCGCTGCCTCTCGAGCGGCCACGGAAAAGTTGGTAGGGGTGCGCAGCGCTGCGCGCCCGCCGACGGGGCGGCCCCGGCCCGGGCGCTGAGGTGTCCCTCGGGGTGCGGAGGGGTGCGCAGGGATGCGCACCGCGCTCCACCGCCACTTTCGCTTCCCCGTGGGGCCGCCCCGCCTCCCCCGGCCCGGCCCCCCCCGCCCCCCCGGCCGTCCTCCGCGGAGCTCCGCGCCTGCGGGGCTCTCGCCCTTCACCCCATGCGCGCTTCACCCCCCGCTTCTATTATTTTATTTATTTTTTTTTATTATTATTTTTCCCTTGCGCCGAGCCTTGTTTACCCAGCAGGTGGATGTGACGTCAGAGACTGACAACAGCAAAAAATAACAACATCTCCCTCCGCGGGGGTGTCGTGGGCCGCCCCCGGCCCGCCCGCGCGGGGCTGCGCGGGGCGGGGAGGGGGCGCGGGGCGGCGCGGGGCGGGGGCGCGGCGGGGCGGTGTGCGGGGCCCGCGGGCGCGGCGCCGGGCGGAGGGCTCTATTGTTATTTACCGAGCGGCGGAGCACGCCGCCGCGCCGCCCGGGCTCGGCGTGCCGGAGGGACGGGAGGGAGGGACGGGACGGAGGCAGCCCCGCGCCGCTCCGCGCCGCCGCCCGCCCGCGCCGCGGCCGCGCCGTGCTGGGCAGCGGCAGGGCCGAGTCCTGCGGGTGAGTCCGGCGCCCCCCGACACTTTCCCCGCTCCTCCGGGGCTGTTGCACTTTTCCCCCCGCCGGCCCCACGTGCCCGGCCGCCCCTCCCCGACCGCCGCCGCGGTACCGGGGTGGGGGGTGGGGGGATGTGGGGCGGCGGTGCGCGGATGCGGAGCCCCCTCCCTGGGCTGCGGGGCCGCCCGCACCCCCTCCCCGCCCACTTTGGAAACTTCCCCCCCCGCCCCGCGCTGCGCGCACTCCCCGCCGTGGTGGGATGCGGCGCGTCCCGCCCCCCTCCCATCCCTGTTCGTGCTTTCCGCGTGTTTTCCGCCGGGTCTCTCCGCGCCGCCGCGCAAGGGGCGCGTACGCCCCAACTTCGGCACTCGGAGCAAGAAGTTGCGGTGGGGCCGCGCCCGCCCCCCCCGTGCTGTGCCCGGCTGCCCGTTCCCCCCTTCCCGGGCACCTGTTGCGGCTTTACGCCCGCGCAGCCCCTTCCGCAGACGCGGAGCCCCGCGCCGCGCATCCGCCCCCACCGCTTGTCCCTGGGACGCGTTGCGCCCATCCCCCCCCTCCTATTTCTTCTTCTTCTTTTTTTATTTTTTTATTTTTTTGAAACGAACTGTTTGAATAAACACCCGCGCCTCCTCAGCTCAGCCCGGCGCAACTTCTCACTGCGCGGGTGCGGACCGCGCATCCTTCAGGCGCGTGTGTGAGCGCACGTCCCTCTCCCGCGCAGCCCCGCGGTGCGGAGCCTCGGGACGGAGCCGCGGCTCGCTGCGCGCCGCGGAGCCGCCGCCGGTGCCCGGTAAGTAGGGCCGCCCCGCGCACCTGCCGGCCCGCGCTGCGCGGCCGCGTCCCCGGGCAGCGGAGGGCTGCGCGCTGCAGGCGGCGGCCGAGCGGCGTGTCCGCGCCTCCCTCCTCCCCACCCCCGCCCCGCCGGTTTGTGGGTTTCTTTCTTTCCTGGAAAAAAACAAAAAAAACCACACAACAACAACAACAACAAAAAAAGCCCCAAACCGACAAAAAGCCCAAAGCAAGCCATGGAGCGGGGCGCGGACATCTGCGCGGGCAGGGCTCCGCGGGGCGCAGCGCAGCCCCCTCCGCTCCGCCCGGTAACTATTAATGCCCGGGCGGCCCCGGCGCGGAGAGCATCGCCGGGCGGGCTGCGGAGCGCCGCGCTTTCAGCGACTCTGCTGCTGCCGCTTCGCTGTAATGATTTTAATTGCGTGTTTTTGCTTTGAGTGAACCAAGCCGAGCGCGATTACTTTTTTTTTTTTTGTTTTTCCTTTTTCCCCGTCCTTTTCCCTCTGAGCCTGGCAGCGGCGGCAGCGCGCAGCCCTCCCGTCCCTACCCGAGGCATCTGCCGCCTGCGAGCGCTCTCTGAGCCGCTTCTGTAGAGAAGCTGGAGCCCAACTTCTGTGCTCAGAAGTTTAAGGTTTCATTTTTAGTAACTGTTCTCGGAGTGAGTAATGGATGTGTACTGCTCGTAGCGTGGCGTCTGCGCCATATAGCCTGCTGATTTCTGGGGTGCTGGATGGTTCTAAATATTAAAACAGTTCTCTAAACTGTGTTTCCTTTCCATACAGTTTTTCTAAACTTGGATTTTACCTGATTTGACCAAATGTTGGTGTCACTAGTGACAGATGCTTAATTAGACAAAGTTGCAAGCATGTCATCGAAGAAACTTTTTTGCCTATGCTGTTAATCCACGGCTTACTTTAATATTTTGGAAAACAGGCATTTTGCTCGGTTTAGTATTATTTTTATAGTTTTTATTACTGCTGAACAGCTCTTACGTTTTATAAGTTTGAAAGCCTGAAATAACTCAAGTTCCCAGAGAAGCGAGTGTGGGCTAGGAGGTACCGTGCATCTCGGCAGCTACATTTGGGAGAAGACAGGGAAATCGGGGTTACTCGTTTCAACTTCTCTCCTCTGAAGCTTTTCCCCTGCACATTTTGTTTGAACTATCTCCCAACCATATTGAATGGACCAGGGCACTGGGGGAGGAAGCTCTCCACTAGTTACCATTCAAAAGGTGTCGGCTAAAATCTCATTGCAAAAAGGTATTGTAGCTTTAACATCTTGCATTGGCAGCATTCTTCCCCCTTAGTCTTTGGATTAGTCATTGTATGAGAGACAGGAAAAAAAAAAATCACTTTTTTTTTTTTTTTTCTGGAAAAAGTAAAGTAAACAGCCTCCAACAAGTGAACCTTGACAACCCAGATTAAGGAAGGCAGGAGAGATCAAACAAAGCTGCTGCTGGGCTGTTGTCAGGAGCTGCCTCACTGAAAGCTCTGGACTATTCGATCAGGCAGCAAGGCTATATGTTCACTTATGCAGAAATGGACCATTACAAATGCTGATCTTTGTTGTGAAAGCAAAGGATAACTCTGAGAAAAATAACTACTATTTCAAACAAGGCTTTCTGTTGCTTACGGTTCTGATTGCAAAGTTAGTTTTTTGTGCATGGGCTGGGGTTTGGGGTTTGTTTGGTTTTTTTTAAAGTGATGATGGTTTGAAGTGCATTTTTATACTTTCAGAGTGACTTAAGATTTGATTATGTTTACGCTGTCTAGAGCTGCAGAGAAGAAGGCATTAAAGTAGTGCAATGCAGAAAAACCTGAAAGTTCTGTGGAATTCAGCTTTTATTTCTGGATCGCTGAATTGTAAGGAAACGTGGATTTGTTTTTTTTCTCTCTGTGTGTAAGTTCTGTGTTGGTGTATAATAGAGGAGTTTGGTTCTGATTAAGTGCTGTATATTGGATGACTGCATTCCTACAGTTTGGAAAACTTGTAATATCTTTCCTTCAAATATGTTGCCAAGAAGTCAGGATGGACCTTGGTTTTGATACGCCGGGATTTTTACAAGACTATGTGTAATGTGTCTTCATGGCTGTATCACAGAGACTGTTACTGTGTAGTTTTTTAGTGGAAATAGCAGTACAGAGTATTAATAGACACTTGATTTTACTTCAGTAAACAGTTAGGATTTAGGTACCAATTGAAGTGAACAAGGGGAGTGAGGTTAGTTTTGTTGTGTGACAGTTTCATGTTTGTATTCAAACACTTGAACTCAAACTTTAAATATGTGTCCCTTTCATTCCTTTGAAGTATTCTAAAACAATGGAAATATCTATTTTTAAAAAAATCCAAGTAAGAGGCTGTTACCCTAATGTATATTAATCAGGAGGGAGACCAAGCGCACATCTGCTGAAGAATTAAGGAATCCTAAATCTTTTTGCATAAGCATTTTTTTAATTAGCAGTGCAGATCTCACAATAAGTACTTTATACTTTCTGTAAGGTAAGGTTTCATAACTCTCCTGCATAACTGACTCTAAAGCCTGTAGATTTTTTTATGGTATATATTTTAATTAGACAATAAAAAGTATGTGCATTAAACATGCACATGTATGCTATTAAGCCATTTTGAGTAATGTGTAATGTGTTTTAACATCTATAAACATTTTCTGCTTAAATCAGTTCCACCAGTAACTGTAGTACAGCTGGGTTTTGCCCTGCTAGGAGAAGGAGCCGGGAAGTTGAGCAGGGAATTGTGCATCGGACATTAGCGTGCAGCATACGCCGCAGTATGCATTTCTCATGGAGTGGATCACCTTTTTCCAGAGCTAAAATTCACATTATCATCCTTGATGTGATGTACTGTTAATATTTGTATCTCCTGAATTACTCCTGTTTCATAGCACTGTAAAAATTACAAAAAAGGCTGGTAGTAAAAGGGTAAATGCATGGAATGTATCTAGTGTTTAGTATTCGTATACCTCTTGTGGTCATTTATATAGAGAGATTGAACTGGATAACACAATTCCCTTTCTGAAATATCTGTTGAGCATAAATTTGTTTATCAAATGAAATAACATATGCGCACACATATGTAGGATATGTATGTAAAATACAGTTATTTCGGCAATGCTGTCCAGTTATTTATGGGCATAATGATACTTCTGCCGTCTTAAATTTTCTCCAAGAAGCTTTAATAAATTTAAATAGATTATATGCTGTCAGAAAATAGTATAAATTTTGTTTACGATTCACTTGCTTTAAGGTACTTATACTAAAGAAGCTCATTTAACCCCAAGACTGAGGAGCATTAAGTGGTGAGAGGAGTCTGCTGAAGAGCTGCTGCTGCCCTTTGCTCTTGTGATAATCTTAAATTACTACAATTTAATTGCAACTTCAAGGCACTGAGCTGAAATATTTTTCTGCAGCCGAGCCAGGGCTGAGGAAGGCTCGGTGGGGTTTTTGCAGGTAGCTGGGTGTCTTTTGGAAGTGCAGCGTTTGTTCAGGCCTCTCCCGCCCTTCCCAGCACATCCAGCATCGCGCGTGCAGGGACAGGGCGCATGGAGGGAGCTTTCCTGGGGGTTTCCACTGCAGAGGGAGCGGGATCAGGCCCTGCAGGGCTCGGGTGCACGAGGGTTTTGTTTGCTGTCTGTACTTAAGCTGAATTAAAGAGCGCATTTTAATTATTCCTCAGATGAGCCTTGCTCTCAGGTTGCTTCCCAGAGCTTCTGTCTGTGAGCCTCTGCTGTGGGAGCAGGTGGAAAGGGGCTGGTGGCTGGAGGGGAAGACCAGGGGGTGGTCAGCAGCGTGGGGACACGGTGGCACCCTGCTCTGAGCGTGGTGTGGTCCTCGTGTCCCCAGGGGTGAGCTCAGGGTGCACTGTGCTGGGCCTGATCCAGAGTGTGCTGGCATCAGCTGGGGCTTCTGCTGATGTCTCTGCCTTTGGCTTTTGGTCTGTGCCACTAACTCGTATCACTGATACTTTTTCTCCCCCTCCCTCCACGTATAGTAGCGTGTTTTCACACCCAGCGAGCGCTTCGGCAGAGATGTGATATGCAGGAGAAGCCAGAAAGCATTTGCTAGGTGGAATTGCACTAGAGATCATCTTTGAGACCGTTCTTAGAGGTCCTGGCAAGCAAACTTTATTCCAGTGCTTCGAAAGGTATGGCCAGGCTGGGAGCACTTAACTCTGTGGCACCGAGGACGCGCGTCAGCGCCGGCCGTGCTGAGGCACAGCGGTGTTCAAATCGTGAGTCTGATTGTTTTTCTGTTGGCCAGATCCTTGTGAAGTGTCTCGTTGCAAGAAGAGGCAGAGAAGAGCTTGTGGTTGCTAGAAGTGGTTGGTTTTGTGCTGACAGAAGTGCTGCTCGCAGCCTGCTCGCTGCGCGGTTCGGTTCCTGCAGCTCGCTGTGCTGGGAATTGCAGCTCCTGCAGGTAACAAGGTGATGCCAGTGTAGAGAGAGGGGGGAAAACAGCCAGCATGGAATAAACCATGCAGTCATTAGAGGAGAAACTTAATTGTGAGATCGCTGTAGTCTTTTACTTTAAAAATATGTATTTTGTGCCATAGAGGAATCGGTTGTACTGTTTTGCTGAGATCAGTTATTTGTTAGTTGGGATTTCTGGAGTGGTTTAACACCTGCTCTTTTTCCTTACTCCAGCACTGGAGCTCCCAAGTCAGAGAAGCTGCTGGCTCTGTTCGTGTGGAGCCTTCTCTGCAAATGTGCTCTAGGGTTTTGTCTTTCTGTTCTCCTGGCACGGGTCTCTTCCGTGCATGCAAGTGAGCAGGCTTATGTCTAATGGCTGTTTGGATGTGGCAAGTATCCAGAATAATCTTGATGACTTTTTGTTCGTGTCATTCTGCAAATGAAGACGGGATTCTATGGAAAATGGGCAAAGAGAAGAGCATGGGCAAAATCAGTTTCTCCCTAAGAGGCACCTGAAGGAGGACTAAATAATTTTTCTCCTCTCATTGACCCTCCTGGTGCTGTTTTTAAAGCATCTCCATTTTAGTGCCTTGAAATTGCAATTAAGTTGTAGTAATTTAAGATTATTGCAAGAGTGCAAAGGGCAGTAGAAGCTCTTTAGAAGTCTCATCTCAACACTTAATGCTCCTCAGTCAGGGGGTTAAATGAGTTTCCTCAATGTGAGTACTTAAAGTAACTAAATCGTAAACAAAATTTATACTATATTCTGACAACTAATAATCTATTTAAATTACATTAAAGTATGTGTGTGAAAATTTAATTAAAGGCAGAAATACTGTCAAGCCCTGTAAATATCTTGACAGATCTACTGAAATGGAACCCATATCGTAAAATATTTACATAGATCTGATAGGGTACACTGTTTCTGGGAGTGCTATTCTGAAACTAATTGTGGGCTTTTTTGCCTTCCAGTTTTCCGTTCAGTTGCAATGGTCTCGGAAAGCAACACAAGTAAATACACAGAATGTTTTATTCGGATGATTCTCCCGTGTATTGTTTACTGCTAATGGTGCTGTCTGTACAATGCCTGTCACTGGTGTGTTTTTATTAGGAGAACATGTTTCCTCAATAAGTTAGTTCAATTCAGAGGCACCAAATCAAATAAATGGGCACTGAAATGAAAAAACTGGCACTGAAAACTGGGGCTCCGCAGCGTTCGCGGTGTGTCTGCGCTGGACATGCCATCTGTGAACCAACTTTCTCCTGGGTGTGTGTCTCAGAGCACGGTGCTGCAGCATCTCCTGCACTGCTGTGACTCGGTTGAATTGATTTTTCAGGTAGGAAGAGCTTGCAAGCTTTTTTCTGGGGGTTTGAACTCTATATGGAAGTGTTTCCCAAAGTGCATACGGGACACAGCACCCTCTTGCTGGTGCATCTGCAGGCATATCTGCTGTGGTATGGGGTCCAGGCTGTTTTTAAGATGAAGAATGTTTTGCCCCAGGTAAAACTTGGTCTGTCTGAAACTTCAGCCAGACTTTGGCCCTTTCTTAAAACCCACTGGCTGGAATTCTGCAGGTGTTTTTGCTGGGAAGGTGCAGCGTGAGCCGCGCTTTCTCATCACCCCGTCATTTGTTGGAACAAAGTCCAGTTTTTCCTGGCTGGCGTGTACACCGTGGATCTGCAGGGTCGCAGGAGGAGGGTTTGGGCATGGAGAGAGGGATGTGATGGGAGCATGGTGCTGAGGAGCCCAGGCCAGGTGCTGGGCACTGAGCGCTGACAGCCCGACAGAAGGTGGCACAGTGCGGCAGGTTGGCTGCAGCCTCCAATGGCATCGTT